GAAATAATCTGAAATCTATATATTTTTTACAGAAAAACTCCTGTGATATGTGCTGCAAATATAAATGTTGACGATATTGAAAATAAAATAAAAATATTGAAAAAAAATTTTTTCAAGGGCCACAACAAGGAGTGGTTTTTCTAAACAATTTTTTTCAAGGCCTATATAAGGCTTGGATTTGTAAAATAATTTTTTCAAAGACCTATATAAGGCGTGGATTTTTTAAATAATTTTTTTCAATGCCTATATAAGGCGTGGATTTTTTAAATAATTTTTTTCAAGGCCTATATAAGGCGTGGTTTTTTTAATAATTTTTTTAGGCCTATATAAGGCGTGGAGTTTTTAAATAATTTTTTTCAAGGCCTATATAAGGCGTGGATTTTTTACAAATATTTTTTTCAAGGCCTATATAAGGCGTGGATTTTTTACAAATATTTTTTTCAAGGCCTATATAAGGCGTGGATTTTTTACAAATATATTTTTAAGCGATCTACAAAAGGCGTGGATTTTTTACAAATATATTTTGAAGGGATCTACAAAAGGCGTCGGTTTATATACCCTACACAACTATGTTGTCACGGTATTATAGCTTTGTGCAGCCCCAAGAGTTTGCAATGCCGCGAAATAATGGTCCTAGACCCAACTTTAAGTATACCGATCGTCATACCTCGATCTAGACATGTGTGTCCGCCCGTCCGTCTGTCCATTATAATTTGTAAACACGATACAGGCCACAGTTATGGACCAATCTTCACCAAATTTTGCATGGAGGATAGGTTCGACGCAATGAAGACCCCTATAGTTTTTGGTAAAAATCGGATAGTATTTAGGGGATGAAATTGACCAAATACTTAGTTTTTCTGGTCGCTCCAGAGGCCGCAATTATGGCCCGAATGTCACGAAATTTTACATGGAGAACCGGATTGGGCCAAAGAATAAGCATGCATGGTTTTATAAACATCGGTCAATATTTAGCGGGTTAAATGGACCCTGACTTTTGTGTGCAGCCCCAAGAGTTTGTAATGCCGCGACATGTGTGTCCGTCCGTCCGTCTGTCCATTATAATTTGTAAACACGATACAGGCCACAGTTATGGACCAATCTTCACCAAATTTTGCATGTAGTATGGGTTTTGCCCAATGAAGACCCCTATTGTTTTTGGTAAAGATCGGTTAATATTTAGGGGATGAAATGTACCAAATACTTAATTTTTTTCGGTTTTTCCGGTGGCACCAGAGGCCGCAATTATGGCTCAAACATCGCGAAATCTTACAAGGAGAAGGGGATCGGGTCAAAGAATGAGCATGCCTCTTTTTATAAATATCGGTCAATATTTAGCGGGTCAAATTGACCCTGACTTTTGTGTGCAGCCCCAAGAGACCAAAGTCCCTATATATCGCTCTATTTGCCCGAAATTTGGCACAGCGTAATGAATTAGGCCTAGAATGATGTGTGTTAGGTTTCCTGAAAATCGGTTTAGATTTGGATATAGCTCCCATATATATTTTCGTCCGATTTAAAGTAAATCGTGCACCAAAGTCCCTATATATCTTTCGATTTGGACGAAATTTGGCACAGCGTAATGAATTGGGCCTAGAATGATGAGTGTAAAATATTTTGTAAATCGGTTCAGATTTAGATATAGCTCCCATATAGAGTTTCACCCGATTTTTGGTAAATAGTCCACTACAGTCTCTGGAAATCTTTTGATTTGCACGAAATTTGGCACAGCGTACTGAATTAAGTCTAGAACGATGTGTGTTAAATTTCTTGAAAATCGGTTCAGACTTAGATATAGCTCCCATATATATTTTCGTCCGATTAAAGGTAAATGGTGCACCAAAGTCCCTATATATCGTTCGATTTGCATGAAAATTGACACAGCGTAATGAATTAGGTCTAGAATGATGTGTGTTATGTTTCGGGAAAATCGGTTTAGATTTGGATATAGCTCCCATATATATTTTCGTCCGATTTAATGTAAATGGTGCACCAAAGTCCCTTAATGTCTTTCGATTTGCACGAAATTTGGCATAGATTTTGGTTCAGATTTAGAAATAGCTCCCATATATATTTTCGACCGATTTTAGTTAAATAGTGCATCAGAGTCCCTATATATCTTACGATTTGCACGAAATTTGGCACAGCGTAATGAATTAGGTCTAGAATGATGTGTGTTAAGTTTCCTGAAAATCGGTTCAGATTTATATATAGATCCTATATCTGACCAAATGAAAAATTTAGTATCGGTTGCAGAATGACATGTTTACTGCTCCTTTAAAAATGTGACGTCTGTTAGGATTCAGCTGTTGAATATATCCAAAGTGGTGAAGGGTATCATATGATACCCCCCGTCCGACTTTATTACTTAAATAATGTTGAGAGATAAGTTGGCGTATGACTAACATTAATTTAATAAGGGCCACTGCAAGGCGTGTATTAAAAAAAAAATTGGAGGGATCTAAACAAGCCTTGGATTTAAAATAATATATTTTTCAGTGACCACCACAGCCCTAATTTTAAATTTTTTTATATTTTAATTTTAATAAAAATAATAAAAAATATATTTTTTTGTTTTTCCTTTCTGATATCTCCTCCTCATCTGTTAGTTACCACCGCCACCTTGTTCTCCTCATCTGCCACAGTAGATTTGTATCTGCAGAATATAGAATTTTATTATTTAATATATTTTTTTCAATTTTTTATAATCAAATTCATACCGGTTCGGCAATTGCGGAAGCTGACATCAGCACTGAGGCCATAGCAACGACTAATACTGGTGGAAATGTCATGATGTACTATTTTTGTAAAGAATCACACACAGGTTTTAGGTTTTTATAGCAGCCATTAATTTCTCTGGCAAAAATATTCCCTAGAACATGACTGGGCATAATAATAAAGTCAAAAAAATATTTTTGTTGTTACGTATTCCAAATAAAATCGAAAATATTATCATAATTAATTATTTACTATTTGGTGAACTAACATCGAAAGCCTGAATATCTTTGGAGTGTTTAAGAGACTTGATTTTCGTTTCCACTTCTCTACAACGTCTTCACTCTCGCATACACCCAAAAATGAGTTCTGTCTCATTTCTCCTAGGTCTTCTGGGCTTCATCTTTATACTGACAACGGTGGCTGCATCCCTGGTATGCAGGACGTTCCCGGACGACTTTCTTTTTTGATTTCAGAATAAAAATCGATTTATTTTTTTATTTGATTTCAGGATGGATTATTTGTTCGAGGAAAATATTCTCATGGAGGGAAATAAAAAAAATATTTTATATCAATAAAATCTAAAAGTGGAAAAATTCTAAAACTATTTAAATATATATTTTTAAGAACCCAAGAATAGGAAGTTTGGGGGAAAAATAGTTTCCCTGGTCTAAATAAATCTATTTTCTTTAAAAATTATGTAGAGGTACTACAGGGCGTATAAGTGGTGTCACAAAGTATACGCCACCATTGTGTATATTTAATTGGCCTTAAATTGTTTTTAAAAAGTTTTCAATTATAACAAGTGAAAAAGCGTTAAGTTCGGCCCGCCCGAAGTTATATTGACAGGTACTAGAAATGAAATTATAGGGAACATACCAAAAAGTGGACCTATACTAACATTTCTGAAAACGAATTATGTAAACCATAATGAACATTTTAGAAATTTTTAAAGGATAATTATACCCTCAGCCTTATGGCTAATGAGGGCGTATACACTTTACACGGTGAAAATGTGCCTCATCGAAATATTGGTTCTATACCCCATGTTTCTTTGGACCAAATCCGTTTCAGAAAATTTAGATTTCATCCGAACTTTGCCCATCTTATTATTTCTTCCAAGCTTAGTTCAAATTCGAAGATGGGGAATATGGTTCCACTCCTTCTGGAATCCAATCAGGGGCTAGGTCTAAATGCGGCTATAGTTCATTATCGAACCTTACGTTCTAATTTTGTTATCTCTCTATCCTCCACAGGTGAAATGATTACAAAAGAGTCTTAGAACCAAACTCAAAACGCGGAACAAATCAGATAACTATTTTAATATAAAAATGGGGGTTATATGGGGACTACCCCAAATAGGGGGCGAATATTAATAATTTTTGGTAGGGAGATTTGTTACCATATACGACTACAAAATACCAGATTGCAGCAAATTCGGTTGAAAAACGCGCTCAAGAACCCCAAAATACCGAACATTGGGGGTACCCTTATCCTATCCGGACCTATATTCATAATATGTTGTGGGGAGATTTGGAACCTATTATTAACCCAATGTAACAAATTTCAGCGTATTCGGTTGAAAAACGCGCTCAAGAACCCCAAAATACCGAAAATTGGGGGGTAACCGTATATGGGGGCTAACCGAAAAAATGGCCCTATGTTCATAATATTTTGTGGAGAGATTTGGTACCTATTAAGAACTCTAAATACTAAATTACAGCCAATTCGGTGGAACAATACGATCGAAACCCCCAAAATACTTAAAATTAGGAGATACCGTTATATGGGGGCTACCAGAAAAAGTGGACCTTTATTTATAATTTTTTGTAGGGACATTTAGTACCCAATAAGAGCCCCATGTACCAAATTTCAGCGTATTCGGTTGAAAAAACGTGCCCAAGAACCCCAAAATAGCGAAAATTGGGGGTATTGTTATATGGGAGCTATGCCTAAACGTGGACCGATATATCCCATCTTCGAACTTGACCTGCCTGCTGACAAAAGACAACCCTATGCAAAATTTCAGCACCCTATCTCAATTCCTTCAGAAGATAGCGTGATTACAACAGACGGACGGACAGACGGACGGACAGACGGACGGACATGGCTAGAACGTCTTAGAATTTTACCCTGATCATGAATATATATACTTTATAGGGTCGGAAATGAATATTTCGATGAGTTACAAACGGAATGACAAAATAAATATACCGTCCACACTATGGTGGTGGGTATAAAAATATTCTTTAGGAGCGTATGAATGGTTTGGATTTTGTAAAACATACAGGGTGAGATAAAAAAACTGCAACAAAGTCAAGCGCCATAAATTTTACACTTTTTTTTATTTTTATTGACTGAAAGCAAAAAATATCGGAAATATCATCAAATTTTAGAATATGTTAAGATTTGTTCGAATTGGTCAGCATTGGCACGATTTATGGCCTTCAAACGGCCAATGAAACCGTTACACGCTGCCCGAATGTTGCTCTGTGGTATTTTGGCCCATTCCCGCGAAGCGCTTGCTTGAGGTGATCGAAACTTTGGTATTTTTTAGGGCCAACCTTGCTTTCCCAAAATACTCCAGACACAATAGTCCAACGGATTGGTATCAGGAGATGTTGGTGGCCATTGTGCGCTGGAAATGAAGCGAGAAACCTCATTTTGTAACCATTCTTGGATGGCGCATCCACCATAGCACTCAAGATGATCCTGTAGGAATGTCCAAGGTCTGCGGCCAAAATGTTTGCGTGCCCAAGGCTTTAATACACCCACCAGAATATTTTCGCGGTAATATTCAGCATTCTGATTCTGATGATATTCGATTAATACGAGCGAAGAGTTACCATCGGCTGTTATGGCGGCCCACATCATCACCATGGCCGGCGCTTGAGTTTTGGTGGCCAACCGAAGGTTCACATTTTCAGCTGACGTCTTTGGCAAGTAAACACGACCATTTTGTTTGTTTGTTTAAAAACTGCTGGACAACGAATGTTTTCTCATCGAAGAAAACCAAATTCGGCAGTTCACCACTTTCGGCCATGCTCTTTAGCTCTTTATACCCTACACAACTATGTTGTCAGGGTATTTTAGCTTTGTGCAGCCCCAAAAGTTTGTAACGCCGCGAAATATTGGTCCTAGACCCACCTTTAAGTATACCGATCGTCATATCTCGACTAGCTGAGTTGATCTAGAAATGTGTGTCCGTCCGTCCGTCTGTCCATTATAATTTGTAAACACGATACAGGCCACAGTTATAGACCAATCTTCACGATGGACCAAATACTAAATTTTTGTCGGTTTTTCTGGTCGCTCCATAGGCCGCAATAATGGCCTGAACTTCGTGAAATTTTGCATGGAGAAGGGGATCGGGTCAAATAATAAGCATGATTGATAAAGATTGGTCAATATATAGCGGGTCAAATGGACCCTGACTTTTGTGTGAAAAATGACAAAATTTGTATTCTATAGCATATATATCTACCACTGAAGGATATAGACCCGAGAAATTGAAAGTATATCCAAGAGGAGTGGTTGACCTTTAAATTAAGACCAATTATATTGTTGTATGTGCTCGGATGTGATATCTCCGTATTCGTATTACAGGTATCTCCGTATTCGTATATTATATTGTAACCCATTATCACTCTATAGAGCGGAACTATAGCGCTGATCGCTTTGAAGTGTTCCATGAGGTTCAAGGTATGGTCAAGGACAACGCCTATATTTTTCGGTGATGATCAGATAATAATTTTGGAATGAAGTGGACCGAAAACTTAATTTTTTGTGCTATTTTCGAGTCGATCTATAGACCACAAATGAACATCACAACACAACCCACGGTGAAGGGAATCTGGACAATAGCTGTACTGCATACCCGTAATATTCGGAAAATATGTCAGTGTGAGGAAGAGGTGCTGTTTACCTCTAAGCGGGCAAGAGGGTGCAAATATCACAAAATATTGCCCAGGCTCGGAATAAACATCCGCACAAAATTTGAGTTCCGTGGTAGTTGTGTAGGGTATCGTATGGTCGGCCCCGTCCGACTATACTGCTCCGCTCACTGGTTTCAGTCTAAGTTGGTTTGCATTTTTTTCATCTCACCCTGCATGTTTCCATGGGGGTGATAGATACCAAAAAATGGCTGTGATTGGCTTTAACATGGCGAAGTCTAGGCTTTTCTTGGTCCCTCCGATATTATTGCCTTACAGGAAATGCGATAGAGAGGGACAGGCGTAAGTAAATGAGAAAATTACGCACTGTATTATAGCTGCCATGAAACGAGAGATGCATTTGACTGCGGATTTATGTTTCACACGAGAATAAAAGACCTCGTCTCCAGATTCACTCCAGTAAATGAGCGATAATGGTATAGAAGCACAATGACAAAAAATTGCCCACTCCCTACAAACTGCAGCAAAAGCAATACTTGGGTACCAAAAACCACAACCAAGAAACCCATGGTACGATCAGGAGTGTCGTAATGCTACTGATATGAAAAACGCAGCATATAGGGCAACCCTGCGGACAGTAGCGACACGAAATGCGATAGAGAACTATCGGGAGAAAGGGAGAGAGGAGAAACGTGTTTTTATAAAAAAGAAGAAAGCGTGAGCAAATCAAATGTACAGGGTTCAGAATGAAGTCCGGAAATTTTACCAACGAGTAAAACACCAAACTGAAGGCTTTGATGCAGGCACATCCTCCTGTAGAGATGAAGAAAGAAACCTGGTGACAGATACAGACAGCGTGCTGAGGATCTGGAAGGAAAATTTTGAAAACATTCTAGTATGAAATATTGGCGGTGAAGAGGATACCCCAGAACCAATAATAGATGACGGTATAGAGTGTAAACCACCTAGCCAAGATTAGGTCAGAATAGCAATAAATCGGCTGAAGAATAATAAAGCAGCAGAAGCCGATGGGTTACAAGCCGAACTATTCAAGACTGTTGGTCAGATGCTGGTAAGGAGCATGCACCAGTTGATTAGTACAATTTGGCTAGATTGCCAAAAGATTGGAACCTCAGCATCCTGTGTCCCGTGCACAAAAAAGGAGACAATACGATATGTGCCAAATATAGAGGAATTAGCCTTCTTCCCATCGCATATAAAGTGTTATCCAGTGCTGGGCTGTGTGATCGACTGAAGCCAATGGTCAATGACATTATTGGACCATGCCAATGCGGCATCAGACCTGGCAAATCCACCATTGACCAGATTTTTACTCTGACCAGATAATCCTTGAAAACCCTTACGAAAAACACACATTCCACCTATTGGTCGACTATAAAGCCGCATTCGACAGCCCTATCCGTTCAGAGGTGTTCAAAGCCATGTCTACGTTCGGCATTTCTGCAAAATTAATACGGCTTTACAGGATAACTTTAAGTGGCACAAGATCAGCAATTATAGTCGGAAAGGACCTCTCGGAACCCTTTAACACCGAACGATCAAACAAGGTGACAGTTTGTCGTGTGACCTTTTTAACATCCTGTTGGAAAGGGTCATACGAGAGGCAGAAGTGAACAGAAATGACATTCTGTACAACAAACAACACCAGTTACTTGCCTACGCCGATGACATCGATGGCCCATGACATCGATATAATGGGCCGAAAACTGAGAGCGGTAACAGCCACCTTTGAACAAATTGAGGAGGAGTCTGCCAAAGTGGGTCTGGCAGTAAACGGCGAGAAGACCAAGCTGATGGTATCAACGCACAAGACGTCCAGTAGACTCGGACCAACTGTGGAACTTGAGAACTACAGCTTCGAGGTAGTCAAAGATTTGATATACCTTGGTACCGCCATAAACAAAACGAATGACATCAGTTTTGAAATTCGGAGAAGGATAGTGATGGCCAACAGATGCTACTGTGGTCTAAGTAAGCAGTTTAGAAACAAGGCCACCTCCCGCCAGACCAAACTCACACTCTACAAGACGCTGTTACTACCCGTGCTGTTATATGGATCTGAAGCATGGGTACTTGAGCAAGCAGATGAGGCAGCTTTTGGGGTGTTTGAAAGAAAAATTCTCCGAAAGATCTACCGGCCGATCTGCGTAGACGGTGAATATGGACGTCGAATGAACCTCGAGCTTTACAATTTATATGCGGACATCGACATAGTCAGTCGTACTGAGCTACAGCGACTACGATGGCAAGGCCATGTTGTATGAATGAATGAGAATGTCCCAAACCAAAAGGCATATAAAAGCGAGCCTACTGATGGTTCCCGTAGAAGGGGGAAGGCCACGAATCGGATGGAAACACCAGGTAGAAAACAACATCTTGGAACGTGGTCTTCCAAATTGGAGGAGATGCGCAAGACCGACGCGCTTGGAAATCTTTTTTAAGCTCGGCATTTGGAACAACCGTTTTGTTACAAGCCAGCTAAGTAAGTAAGCCACGTACCAAGTTACAGATATTATCTCTACCGACTTCATTCAAATATAATGTTTAGTACTTTGTAGTACCCCTTAGTACTAAATTCAATTTTCACACATACAATTTCGCTTATCGTGGGCAAAGCTGTATGCCAAATTTCAGAATTCTACATCTTACCGTTCCCGCGTAATACTGTTTTAGTACCTTTTAGTACGAATTTCCAAAAATCCCGCCCTATCACATGCCTCCCCAACAAACCCAACCTACATGCCAAATTTCAAGTTTCTAGCTTTAGCCGTTTCGTCTGGGCGTTGATGATCAGTCAGTCACTTATAACGCAACTCTTTTATATATATATATATATATATATATATGGAAGATAACTGCCTCGTACTTACGAAATTTGACCTCGTAACCCTTAACTGTTATTTTCGACACTGACAGCAAATTCTAGTTCTCAAGTCTGGTACATAAAGAACATCTTCTAATTTCACATTTGTTTCAGAAGCCCCATGTTTCACCGAGATTTTAACACTTCCGATTCCACAAATGTTTGTACACTTCTTGTTTGCCCAGTTCAGTCTGAGTCCGATCCATTACTGATATATTCATAAAAATCTCCTTATCCGTACTCATATGCGACATCCAACCACTGTCCAAACACAATTTGGATTTATCTTCTGGAGACAAATAATTTGCTTCTTATGTCATTAATGTCAATTCTGATTTTTCGATTTCCTTCCAATTCTTGGGAATTACGAGTATTTTCATTCTTTCTAGTTCTACAATTTCTTTGTGAAATTATCGATTTGAGTAGTAAAGTCGGACTGGGCCGACTATATGATACCCTTCACCACTTTGGGTATATTTCACATATGTATCCTTACAATTGTATGTCAATATTCCCTCGAAGTAAAATACTCATGTCTTTCCGCAACCTATGCTAAATTTAATTTCATTCGGGCAGATTTAGAGTCGTCTGCGTACCATGGTTCAAATTTATGGAAACGATTTATAGCAAAATTGATACACGCTATTCGGTATGCCGCATTGTCAAAAATTTGATTTCTATCAGACAACCGTTCGAAATACATATGGGAGCTATGGCTGCATCTGTACTAATTAAAAACAAAAACCAGTAAGGAAAGTAGTAAAGTCGGACGGGGCCGACTATATGATACCCTTCACCACTATGGATATATTAAACAGGACTATTAACATGAAATTGGATGAAATAAAATATGTGATATTTATCTAAATGTGAATCTACCTATATATCCATAAGTTATATAAATCGACTTCAATCAAATATAAATAGGTTATCTGTTGGGCTATGTCTGTACTTCTAGAAAACGCAACTACGTAATTCTATGCTCAATTTTGTACGTTGTGCAAAATTTGATGTCAACCTGACTAGCATGAAGAGTTTGATGTCCAATTTACTTAAAATCGGGCGAAAATATATATGGAAGCTCTATCCAAATATATCGAAGGATATATAGGGACTTTGGTGCACCATTTACATGAAATCGGACGAAACTATATCTGAATCTGGGCCGATT